TGATAATTATTGGCTCTTGATTGATCGTATATAATTGGTGATAATCGGTCCTTAATTTACTGGAAAATTTCAGTCTCTACTGACTCCAAACTGGTGACAAGCCCTTTGAGCTCAACCTGCCATTGCATCAAATACACAAAAATTGAATTCTTTTTCCGACCCAATTTCAAAAAAATTATCATCCACAATCAAATTTGCTTGAGTGCTTTCAAGTAAATACAAGCTACGATTCAAAGTACGAAACAAAAACGTTCGAATCTTCAAACCGCTTTACCCTCTTATTAGCTTTTAAATTAGATTAGGAGAAAGTCGGGCCTTCAAAGAGAGGGCTGTTTTTCGGAAGCTTTGCATTGTATTTACGAAATTCTGTAAAATGTAAAATTCAACACCGATTTAACAGTCATTTATAAGTACCAAAGTTTGATTGTCGTTAATGTTTTGTGGCCTATTAAAAAATTATCATTTAGCGTAAAAAGATCTATTGGTTAGTAGTATAGCGTTGCTGGTTCTGCATCACGAGTTGATCTATTTGTACTTGTCACTTAACACTAATCACCTGACAGATCCGTTTACAGGTTGCTTAAGGGTGTAGTCCTAAGTGAGTGGTAAACTCCATTTGAGGCTAAATATAACCAAGGCCTAATTAACTAACCTATTGGTTAGTAGTATAGCGTTGCTGGTTCTGCATCATAGTAAAACAACCTATTGAGAAAAAATATCAAACCTGATAATAGGATCGCGGGAGAATCTCTCCTTAAGGCCGGTTTACATTTTGTTAACTGCAAGTTTTTAGTATCAAATGTTAAGTGTTACTAAACAGAAAAATAGAACACGATTTGATGTACTTGCACTTGTAGCTTGCACTTATCACTTAACACTAATTCGTTTACAATTCTACAACTAAGCACTAGCACTACACACTTGCACTTGCTACTAATCAAAGTGTAAACCGGCCTTTAGAGTCGGGTTGCTTGAGAATGTAGTCCTAAGTGGGTGGTAAACTCTATCTAAAGCTAAATATGACCACATCCTAACTAACTAACATGTTGGTTAGTAGTATAGCGTTGCTAGTTCTGCATCATAGTAAAACAACCTATTGGGAAAAACAAATCAAACCTGATAATAGGATCCCAGGAGAATCTCTCCTTAAAGCCGGTTTACATTTTGTTAACTGCAAGTTTTTAGTATCAAATGTTAAGTGTTACTAAACAGAAAAATAGAACACGATTTAATTTACTTGCACTTATCACTTAACACTAATTCGTTTACAATTCTACAACTAAGCACTAGCACTACACACTTGCACTTGCTACTAATCAAAGTGTAAACCGGCCTTTAGACTCAGGTTGCTTGAGAGTGTAGTCCTAATTGGGTGGTAAACTCCATTTGAGGCTAAATATAACCATGGCCTAACTAACCAACCTATTGGTTAGTAGTATAGCGTTGCTGGTTCTGCATCATAGTAAAACAACCCATTGGGAAAAAAAAATCATCAAACCTGATAACAGGATCGCGGGAGGATGTCTCCTCAAGGCCGGTTTACATTGTGTTAACTGCAAATGTTTCGTGTCAGATATGTGTAATTTGACATGTTGAGTGTTAGTAAACAGGCGTCTTACGGTCGTGCCAGGTGTTGATGTTCAATTTTTGATTATTCCCGGCACTTGATTTGATTCAAATACCAGGAATAATCAATTTTTCAATGTACAATCAGGAAATATCCCGAGGTTCCTAAATCTGAAGATGAACCCATAAATTGGGCCGCGGAAAGGTATTAAAAGTAAGGCTCCCTCAACATAATTGGCGCACGAGTCTTATACCCTACAAAAGACAAACTATACCTTCTTAGGCCCAATAATAATTAATGGCGAACGTTAAGCCCAACAAACAAACACGAAAGAAAAGAAATATCCATCATTTTTCAAACAATTTGCTCATTAATAAAAAAAATTGAGGGAAAATATTTGCCTTCCGATACACAATAGGAGATTTCCACAAAGAAAACTAGATTGTTTCTTTAATAAACATATTAAAAATATTACTTACAATAAATCGACTCGATTTATATTCAGATCCATTTGGATTGACCCCAATAAAAGATATTTTTTTTTTACGACATTCACAATGATGGCTGACTTTTTCTCCTAATATTTTATTCATTTTACCCAATTTCCTTGAGTGTGCGTGACTTAAATAAAAAGCCAAACTTCAAAAAGCACTGCAGTAGTGTCAATATTACATTTAATCTACCTGGAGCACACATACATCATAAACCTCTCCACCATCCTCTAGGGGAATCAAGACTACAACATTGATTTTGACGTGTGTAAATGCAAATCCGGCTTTATTATTGATGATGTTTAAGCTACTAAATAAATTTTAAATGAAGAAAAAAAGCTTCCATCATCTCGACTACGGTTTCTTCAGACATCAATCGCGGGCTTAAGGGTTTACCGGGGACTCAATTTCAAAGTAAAAATGGCACTTTGTTATTCGAGAACGCTACTACCTGATTAGTTTTTTTTTTATTAAAGCTTATTCAGTCACGGACGGATTAGTGTCCTCGCATGCAAAAAACGTACAATTCAAGTGTAGAATTTATAAGATTTTGCATTTTATAGAGATGCCTTTCGCAAGTCAATAAGGGCCAATATTAAATTTATGTGTAGCTTGACGTGCATTCTTTATGGAAATATTTTGCGAAGTGAATGTCGAAATGTTTGGAGAATATTTTAATAATAATAGGGTTGAAGAGTTTATTAGAAATGTTGCTAGTTTATTTTTGAATTTTATTTTGTGTCAGTTGATAAAGAGTTGACGGAGGTTATATATTTATTTATTTGAATAAATTGAAGAACTTTCTGAAATATGAAAATTATAGTTTAAGGTTTCTTAATGCTCTGGTAATGAGTGGAATTTTAGAATAACTGAGTAAAATTCAAAGCAATTTACTCATTACTGGATTATGGTGTTTATTGAATCAGACACTCATAGAAGTTTTCTTCAATTAAACTATAAAATTTTTATGACAAGTATTAGTAAGAGAACGAGCGCAAAATCATCCATTTTCCCATGTAAATCTCCATAAGAAAATCTAAGGTCCAAATTGCGGCTTTTTCGGCCATTTCCAGGTCAAGGTTTGGTAACAGCTCAACAACAACTCCCAAGACATCTCAACAACACTTCGAAGACATCTCAAAGACAACAATAACATCTCCAAAATATCTTAACTACATCTCAAAGACAACTCCAAGACATCTCAACAATATCTTCAAGAACACAACAACGTACATCTCAATAACACCTCAGAGATAACTTAAAGACAACTTCAAAATTTCATTAACATGCTCACCTTCATCAACTATTGTTGTTATTGTTGTTGAGATGTCTTTAAAATGTCTTGAAGTTGTCTTTGAGTAGTTGTTGAAATATCTTGGAGATATTGTTGTTGTCTTGGAGATGTTTGGAGTTGTCTTTGAGGTGTTGTTGTCATGTTTTGATGATGTTATTGAGATGTGTTGGAGCTGTCTTCGAGATGTTGTTGAGATGTCTTGGATTTGTTGTCTTTGAGATGTCTTGGAGTTGTCTTCGAGGAGTTGTTGAGATTTTTTGGAGTTGTTGTTGAGCTGTTATTGAACGTGGACGAGGCTACCTGTAGGTAGTTGAAAAAGCCGCAATTTGGACCTTAGATTTTCTTATGGAGATGGGAAAATGGATGATTTTGCGTTCGTTCTCTTGCTGCACCTTTACTAGTATTACATTCAAAATTACATTTATTTGATATAAGGTGTATTGATGAACGTAATCACATCTATCAGATTCTAGTCGTTCAAAAATGTCGGTGATAATTAAAATTTTGAATATTAGCGGCTCTTGATTGGTTATAGAAAAGTTTTCTAGCCAATCAAGAGCCATTAATAATCATATTTTGATAATTACCGGCTCTTGATTTGTAACAACGCCGATAACAAGAGTGTCTACGCAGCAATCTACTCATCATTAGATTATGTTGAAATACTAGATTACTGGATTAACAATCTTGATAACGAGTGGACTTTGAGTAACTTATTACAAGAAGCGCAACATTGCTCCGGTAATGAGTGAATTGCTGGAGTTCTAGAACGAAGCAATCAAGAGCCTCTAATGGTTCAAATTTCGACTCTTGATTTTTTTCAGAAAGACCCTCCAACCAATCAAGAGCCGGTAATAATCAAAATATGATTATTACCGGCTCTTGATTTTTTGTGATTATCTTGACAATAGCGGCTACTCCTCTACTTAATGCACCTAAAGCACTAAGGCCAGCACTTTTTTATTTTGAGAAGATTTGCTGGAAAATTTATCTAGAAGCAATCAAGAGCCGATAATAATCAAAAAATTCCATTTTGAATGTAATATTTGTCACAAAAAATTTCTAATTGAAGAAAAACTCTATGGATGTCCTGATCCAATAAACACCTTATCCTCGATCCAATTTATCCAGCTAAAAAAAAAACAATAAAAGATGGGGGGTCGACCGTTTAATAAAAGTCCAGAGCGCGGAAAAGATGTCCAGACAGGGAATAAAATCGGGCCGATATTAGATTAAGCCCGGAGTTGAAATAAGCACTAAAGTAAATGCAAGGCGAATCGTAAAAATAAGATCGGATCCCGTAAAGAAAAGATTTTATTTTTGTCCGGATCATATAATCGAATTAGAAGAGGTGGAATTTTACAGTAATTTTTATTTGTAATATACAGTACAAACCGAAAAATACTATAGCTACAAGAGTCAAGAGCCCATTTATTTTCGAGTAATTTCCAAAAGAATGTTTGCCAAAGCACGAAATTAGGATGCCGGAATCCGGAAACAAAAAGGAAAGCAACAAGGAACTAATAAGAAATCTTCAGTGGGCCGTTTGAGGAATGCGACGTTCTTATACTTGCTTTGTTTGGTTAGCAGAAAATAACTTGAGAAAACATTCTAAAACAATCTATTTATTATTGATGTTTTGTTTCAGATAAAACACCACTCATACAATGATGTCCACCTATAAATTCTTCATCCTCCTGCTCCGGATAGGTTTGTTCCTGGTCGAAGCATCAGAACAAAAATTCGCAATGGAACCTCAAGATCAAACAGCCGTTGTTGGTTCCAGAGTAACTTTGCCTTGCAGAGTGATAGGAAAAATGGGCACCCTGCAATGGACTAAAGACGATTTCGGTTTGGGCACCCACAGAAATTTGAGCGGTTTCGAACGTTATTCGATGATCGGTAGCGACGAAGAAGGTAATTATTCATTTCTCGTAAACAGCCATACGGCCCCATTTGTCACGGAAGTGTATCGAACAATACTGTCTAGTAAATTTAGCGTTGCTTGTGTATTAAAGGAGATTATAAACTCATCAATCTTGTCGGTATAAGGAATTTTAAGATGATCATTAATAAAAATTTACCCGTTTGATTATAATGATGATAAGGGGAAATTTTTGTTTTTTTGAAAAGCAATTTTTATGTATTTATGGTTTTGTGTAGCTCAATTTTTTCAAAAACTATAAACCTGAAAATATTTTTCAATTTCTAAAGCTCAATTGGAGCTACAATTCTTTGATTTATATTATTCAACCGACCCTGTATCCCTTATACTTACTGATGAATTTGTAAAAAAAAAAATTATACAAAAATTTTACAGACTGATGAGGGATGGGAGTTTTCAAAAATATATTCCACCAACAATATTCTAATAACTCTTTGGACACTTTAAGGCTTGTTGCAAAGAGTAATTCACATGCGGCCAAAAAAATTGAAAAAAGAAAACTGTAGCCCTAATAAAATTGCACTTATGTATATTTATATAAGGTCTAGCTATAGCGTAAGCACACAAGCAGAAAGAGAATTTAAACATCGTCCAGCGTCTGGGGACGAATTCGACCTGGACGGCCCACGAAGGGATGCTCCAAGTAACCCGGTGACATAACGGCTTTTCACTGCCCCCAGGAGACGTCCTGAATATGGAACCGGGGCCTCGGATATATTCCGGAATTACCCGGACATAAAACCGGAGGACACTGTGTCGTTTTTAATAAAAAAAAAAGAAATTGATCGATGAAACTTGTGAATGTAATATTAATCTTGTAAAGTTGGTGGTTTCAAATTCTAAAAACCAACAAAAAGTTGATAGTAATTTTTCCGTTGAACGCTTGACAAAAAAAGTATCATTTTAGCGGCGGCAATTTAAAGCTCCTCAAGCTACTACAAGGCTAAAGAAAATTCCCTTCAAAAGAATTTCATAAAGCCATTATTTCCAGGCAGCAACACAAAAAAAAATCCCTTCACAAAGCAGCAGCAGCAGCATCTGGGAGGTGGGAGGCCTGCTAAAAAAAAAAGTAGACACTCTTTCCCAAGTTCACTTTTATATACAAGAAATTCTCCCTTCCCCGGAGGATGGCGGAGAAACCAAGGGCTGGAGTGCTCTCAAAATGTGGCCCGAATCTCTTCACCTGACATGTGTTAAAGTGGCTCTTAATGTTTGATATCCTTGCCAGAGGGTTTTCGAGGACCCCGGATCGGGAATATTGCTATTTTAGATTTTTCTTTTTTCCTTATACAAAGATTATGACCGCTTGCGCTTATTCAAATCCACTTATAGACAGAGAGGGGGAGCGAAAATAAATTCCCGCCTGGAAAAGGAGTTTTGGAACACAGATTGCCTTTAGACGAATAAACAAACACAATTTTCGAAACAATTTAAATTCAGAGTGCGGCGCTAACTTCTCCTCGTTTCGATTCATCTTTTGGATTTTTCTTTTTTTGCCAAAAGGGAGAATAACGTCGCATAAAGACGACATTTTAACTTTCGTTTTGTTTCAGACCTAATTTACGTTCGAGAATTGACAAATTTCATGTTTGAACTTTCTGGAAAAACATCATAGTATATTAGTGAGAATGCTTCAAAAAAGTTTAGAGGCGTAATTATTTCATGATCACTTGACTCTTCATCTGGAAAACACAAAATCAATTTTGCCTGGCAAAGTTGAAGAGCTATTAGGCTGAATTCACTTGAAACCACGTTGTGCAGCTGACACCCAACAGCAAATCATAATTCAACCATTTCTCGCCGGTATTCGGTAGTGCACCACTGCTACATTTACCTTAAATAGTATAATCGTGCAACAAATGGTGGACAGCTTCCCCAGGGGACACCAATTACCAAAAAGAAATAATCAGACTATGATTTGTTGCCCTGGGAGTGGGAAATCGAGTTTATTCGATTGTTGCTAACGTTACGTCGGATCCCGGAGCTCGATATTCGTTTGAATTTCGTCATTTTTGATAGAAAATCGAAAGGAGTTGTTCATGACATTGATTTATTTCTATCGAAATGCATCGACAGGTTCGGAGGTCTCGAATTAGGTTAGATCTCATCTGTTTTGTTACTATATCGTAAAATTTCAATAGGAATACTTAATAATAATAGCAGCCCTTTCAGTAATAATGTCCCGGTTCTTTTCTAGGAAATCAATATTATGTAATTTCCAACTGCTTTGGATATAGCATTTTTTAAAGTTTATTGTTGAGATTATTAAAATTTAAAAAAACACAAAACAAATATTCACAGACACACTTTCTCTCCTCTCTCACTCATTCAATAGAAACCTATATTTCTGTCTAGGGGCCTCATTTCTCTCATTGGCTACCGCAAGTTTACCCTGCACGACCCCCAGCAGGTTGGTCAGGCCCATAAACTACCTCATGAGTTCGTTTAGGGCGTGACCCACCCTCTGTTGGTCGCCCATATTAAATCTCTATTTGCCACTAATAACTATGCTCGTAGCCTCTACCACTTACTGAAGCAGATTTCTTACCCGCTGCACTGTGTCCTGCTCCTCTTGTTCGTCATGTTCTGCTTGCTCTGCTTATTCTGTCTGCTATTATGCCTACTCTGCTTGTTCTGCCTGCTAAGGATTCCGGTTCTGGTCTTCGTACTGCTCCTGTTTAATGCTCCTTCGCTGGCTTTTCTCCATATCTTCATAGCTCATGCTAACCCCTCTCATCCGCATGTCGCCCCGCATCCTCTCAGAATCCGAGGTTTTCTTCTCTGTTCCTGCCATGTTCTATTTATTCTCATAACTAAAAAAGCGGGATCGCTTTTAATTCAGAGCGCGTGACGTTAGCAACAAACTTAATTTCCCACTCAATCGTGTCGATAATCGTTTGACTCAATATAATCGAATCGAACCTCGTGATCCCGATGCAGGTACCATTGAACCTCTATTTGATACAACTGGGCCTCAATGTCAAAAATGATATTTTTGGAAATTCCACGGGAAACTGCCACTTATTAGTTTTGAAAATTTCCAGTGTAATTTGCAACAATATTCCCAGGTCTATAGTTTTTGAGAGAATTAAGTTTGAAACTTTTGACAAAATTTAGACTAAAAGTCAAATTTGAGGCTCAATAACTCAAAAACTTTCTGACCTATCAAACTCAATTTGCCACGGATTTGTAGAGAATTTAATGCTCTTTTCGATGGTGTATAATTGATTTGAATTTGCTCAAAGTTTAACAAAAATATGGGCAATTGCTCATGACCATGTCAAGTTATTAAAAATTTTATAGAGCCAAAAATAAGATTTTCTTTTTATTTTTATTTGTGTTTAAGATAGCCATTTGAAAATGATGTTAGGATTGTTTTCTACTAAATTTGACCCGCTCTATCGATTGGTAGAGTCAAAATTGAGCAAAATTTAAAAATTCAAAAATCGAGTTTTTCATAAGGGGTACCCCTTTGAATTTTGATTTCAAAATAATCAAAGCTCAATTGCTTGGTAACCGTTGAGCAAATTGTATTGAAATTTTCAGCATTTGTAACTTTTATCAAGCTCTAAAAGACCTGTAATTAACAATATTCTCAGGTTTATAGTTTTTGAGAAAATTGAGTTTGAAGTTTTTGGCAAAATTTGGACTAAAAATCAACTTTGAGGCTCCATTACTCGAAAACTTTTTGAGCTATTGAACTCAATTTTACACGGATTTATAGGGAATTTAGTGCTCTTTCCAATGATATATGATTTATTTCAATTTACTCAAAATTGAAGAAAGATATGGGCAATTGTTCATGACCATGTCAAGATTTTGAAAATTCTTCAGAGCCAAAAATAGGATTTCTTTTTTAATTTTTTTTCAGCTTAAAATGGCCATTTGGAAATCATGTCAGGATTATTTTTCACTAATTTTGACCCGCTCTATCGATTGGTAGAGTCAAAATTGAGCAAAATTGAAAAATTCAAAAATCGAGTTTTTCATAAAGGGTACCCCTTTGAATTCTGATTTCAAAATATTCAAAGCTCAATTACTCGGTAACCGTTGAGCAAATTGTATTGAAATTTTTAGCATTTGTAGCTCTTATTAAGCTCTAAAAAACATGCAATTAACAATATTCTCAGGTTTATAATTTTTGAGAAAATTGAGTTTGAAATTTTTGACAAAATTTAGACTAAAAATCAACTTTGAGACTCCATTACTCAGAAAATATTCGAGCTATTGAACTCAATTTTACACAATTTATAGAGAATTTATTGCTCGTTCTAATGATATATGATTTATTCCAATTTACTCAAAATTGAAGAAAGATATAGGCAATTGTTCATGACCATGTCAAGATTTTGAAAATTCTTCAGAGCCAAAAATAGGATTTTTTTTTTTAATTTTTTTTCAGCTCAAAATGGCCATTTGGAAATTATGTCAGGAATATTTTTCATTAATTTTCACCCGCTCTATCGATTGGTAGAGTCAAAATTGAGCAAAATTGAAAAATTGAAAAATCGAGTTTTTCATAAGGGGTACCCCTTTGAATTCTGATTTCAAAATATTCAAACCTCAATTGCTTGGTAACCGTTGAGCAAATTGTATTGAAATTTTCAGCATTCGTAACTTTTATCAAGCTCTAAAAGACCTGTAATTAACAATATTCTCAGGTTTATAGTTTTTGAGAAAATTGAGTTTGAAGTTTTTGGCAAAATTTGGACTAAAAATCAACTTGGAAACTCCATTACTCAATAACTTTTTGAGCTATTGAACTTAATCTTGTACGGATTCATAGAGAATTTATTGCTCTTTCCAATGATATATAATTTATTCCAATTTGCTCGAAATTTAACAAAAATATGGGCAATTGCTCAAGACATGTCAAGTTTTTGAAAATTTCCCAGAACCAAAAATAAGATTTTCTTTTTATTTTTGTTTGTGTTTAAAATGATCATTTGAAAATAATGTTAGGATTGTTTTC